ATTATCTCTTTGCAAAATATGGTGCAAAGCACTGAAGAATCATTTAGTAGTGAGTACTTAATTTCAGAAACTTTTCAAACACTGACAGAATGCTGATAAGGTTCCTCCTTGTTGGATATCATCATTCTCTTTTTGCAGAGCAGGGGATTTGGGAGAGTAGTTACAGGCTTTGTCATGTCAAGGGGCAGGGGGAGTATGTTTGCGTGAAGATTGAATTCAGCTGTTTTCCCCTGTGGTGTGCTAAATAATGGAGACGTTTATGTCAGTGACATGCATGATTGCTGATTTTTACCCAGGTTTTGCTTGCATACTGTGAGGGAGGCAGTCTTTGCAGTTTTCTGAGATTAATGTTGTGCGCCTCCTTGAAATGTGAGGAGGGGAAGGGAGACCTTGCTGTTCTGAGAAAAAGTTTATTTAAAATGCTTTCGGGTTTCTCTTACTAATGCATATTTCTACCCTTCTAGGCAGATTAATGATTTTGTTACTTGTACAGTAGATATTTGTTTGTTTGAACTAAGAAGCAAAACCTTGGTTTTCCAGGAGGAGGTGAGACCGAATCATGAACTAGTTCAGAGCCTCATCTCCACTCATTCTACCATTGATGCTAAGATGGCTTCCAGTAAGGTGTCTCTCTTCATGGACTCCAGGCCATTAGATTCAGAAGACATAGAAAGACAAGAGTAAGTTTTGGGATTTTTTAGCCCAGATCTCTGATTTCAGGCTCTAATTCAGGAAAATATTTCTAAATAGGGCATAGTTATCACTATTGCTTAACAGTTCCTCTTGTAAGACTCTGCAAATATATCTTTTTAAGGAAGGAATAACTGAGCTTATTAGAGTTGAAAAATGTTATAAAGTCTTCTCAAAATTTTATTCTGATACAGCTCTAAGCTTCAGTTTTGGAGGGTGACAGTGTCCTCATAAAATTCATTGTAATACCTATTTTCATTCTACAGAAAATGGTGTTTCTTGGAGTTATTAATGGTGATAGTTTAGAACACCGTTCAGCTTAGAGGCTTTTCTCACATAAAAGACAATATTGCCTTCTTAATATACTTAGTCATCTCTCCTGTGATCTGCCTCTCGCCAAAATATCTTTAAATATTAATGTGGGGTTGCATTTTTTCACTAAGGTTCTTTACATTTTACATGTACCTTTTACATCTACTTTTCTCTCCACAATGTGATCTTTGCAAAACAGGTTTGTGATGCCAAAAGAAGAGAGAGCAGTTGATGTGAAGACTGGAAGAGTACGTCGGAAAGCAATATTTGATGAAGAAAAAGAAAATCATGATGCAGTAAGTGACGAGGAAGATGACCAAGAAGAAGAAGAAATGTCTGAGGATGGAAGTGATGGTGATGACGAAGATGATGCTGAAGAAGAAAGTGACAGGGAGATTTTAGGGGAAGAGGTGGTTGTTGGAAGTGCCAAACGCCTAAAAAGAGAGGTGACTAAAGAAGAAGCTGTGAATGAGTTGCCAGCATTTGCAGACAGTGATGATGATCTTGAGGTGAGTTCTGAAGGAGAAGGAAAAACTGCCCCTGAAGAAAGTGATATGGAGGGAGAAGACAGTGAAGAACAAGAATCATATGAAAATGAAAGTTCAGATAGTGAATTTGAAGGTGTGAGGAAAGGAGTAACTAAATCTGAGCAGTATGAAATAAATAGAGAGGATGAAGAAATGAGATCACAAATTTCATGTCACAATCTGAAGAAAAAAGCCGTTCTCACTACAGATTCTGGAAATTGCACAGCAGAAGAGGCATCAGAATCTGAGGTTGAAAACTCTTCCATGGAAGAGGGAGGAGATGATGAAGGATCACATGGTGAATCAGAAGTTGATGCTTTGGACGGAAAAGGATTTCGGCAAACTCGAGAGAAGAAAATGGGTAGTGTTAAACAGACTGAACTTAAAGCTGTAGAAGATGAGGAGGATGATGATGTTGAGAATCTTCTGAAGGAGGAAGAGGAATACGAAGAGAAGATAGATTTTTCTGCTGACACAGCAGGTAGATAATTGCTAACTTTTTTTTT